GTTTTTATTTCATGAAAACATCTTAAAATAATTATATGCTGACCAATGCATTTCGAGAGCAAAAATAATACTCACTGTCATCCTCACAAAACTGCTGAATCTGATCAGGATATGACTGTAAAAATCCAATTTCGGTAAGAAAAATAGTGACCATGTTACAACAGAAGACCGCATAGAGATTGATGTACTTCTTGTCTGACCTCCTTTTTATACTGATTCAATATCTGGAAACTTCAAAAGACATAATAAGTTTCAAGTTTTGGTCACCCATTAATATCATTTGGGGGACTATGGAAAACAACTGATTACTGAACATCTCCGCCGTCCTAGTTTCAGACTATTTGGCACTACTCACCTATGACCCCATCGGGGAATGAACCTAAGACCTACAAGCGACTGTGTAAGCCAGTTGGCCATTAATTCACTGGGATAAAATCCAATACCCTGTGAGTTCTAACTTCTGTCCCTGGTTCGATCTCTAGAGAAATCATGTGCTCGCAAAGCTGGGAAGTCTTCCTGGCTTTCGATAGCTCTCTAAATTATATCACTTCTCAGATTTTAGCGCCACTGCCAACCAGTATTATCGGGGAGTATTTATTCACACACCCAACTTGGTTGACTTTTTACTGGGATTCCAGACAATATCGCCAATTTGTCAGTTACTAGTGATTATGGTGTCGCAAAATCGTATGCTATGAGAAAAATATTGGCACTTTAGGGATTAGCTTGAAAATCCTCATTGAGTCATATGAAAAAGAGAACACCTTCAGCGAATAGACTCTTTTCGGCAAATTCACTCACATAGTTGTACAAAGGCATTTATGTATAATTATTTGTGTGTGTGTACATGAGATTTGTCAAGTTCAGATAATTGATCAGGTAAGACAAGAATGATCCAATATAGAAACAAGGTTAATCAGACAGCAACTAAAGTAAGATTGAGTTAGTAAGTTAGATGACGCAATATAATTGAGTGAAATGTTTCAACTTAGGTCAGGATAGCAACAGAGGTAATTACAAGTAAAGACTAAGTAGAAGTGGGGTTTTATTTTATATGCAATATCAGATTTAATATGATTATTCATGAGTCACGAAGATATGAAAAGCTGAGAATGAATACGTTTGTAGGGTAACCTATTGTATTATTATTCATAATACATATAAATATATATATATATATATATATATATGTCGGTGGCACAACAGTAGAATACTCGTCAAACACTCATGTGGCCCCGGGTTCGATCCTCGGCGACACATTCCTTTACCTCGCTAAGCCAGTAATAAGACCAGCAAAGAGGGAAGGTTAGGCATGAGAATGGCAACTCTACCCATTAAAAAATATATCGCTGATACCGTAACTTCTAAGTTGTAGCTCGAATCCCAGTGTGTTCCACTGGGAACGTAAAGGAATAAAAAATAAAATATATATGTATATTTATGTATATGTGTTGGGATGTCTGATTCTTACGGATTTGATCTGTCATTTGCTTTCAATATATGCATATATATATATAAATATATATCACTGTTTTATTTTCACAAAATGTAAAGGAAACAATTAATCAAAAAACTGTTCATTAAAAATAAATTCTGCAATTAGTGCAAATAATTTAGAATATCTGATGAGGCGAACTTCCTACTTAATTTGACATTATTATGAAGTAATACTTGAGTTCAGTTAAACGTCATTAAAAGGCATTTAAAATTTATCCATTCTACAAAAAAGGGAAACAGGAAATTATGTGAATTGAAGTGCACGATTTTTATCAACTCTTTCATTATCTGAAAGTAAGATTAGAATTCATAAAACATAATTATATATATATATATATATATATATATATATATATATATATATATATAGGCTTATTTGTTCTTATGATGAAAAATTTCATTAATTAGACTTAATATTCGAATTATAGTAGTTGAAATTATAAAATAGTCTTAAAAGAGACTGTGTAAGGTCTTCACATCAGGTCACCTAGTCAGTAAAATACTCATGGCAGCACTCACACCTTAAGGAAAATTGAAGAAAAATATCTAATGGACGTCTTCCAAAAGAATGGATATCCAGGGAATTTCATCAAAAGACATCTACTCCCAAGACAACCTACCAAATCAAAGGCCTCCAAGGAAAGCACAGAGAACATCGCTATACCATATATAAAAGACACCTGAGAATTCACTGCGAGACTCTTTAAACCTTCATGGATCGATGTCGCACACAAACCAACAAAATCGCTTCACTTAAATCTGTGTCAACCAAAAGACTCAACAACGAAAGATGAAACGAACATAATCTACAAAATAAGTTGCAACGACTGAGAAAAACACTACGTTGGCCAAAGTGGATGACAACTGCCTTCTTCCTCGTATCCATGAACATAAGCTAACCATCAAAAGACATGATATCCACTCCCTCATATCACTGCATACCGACAAGCATGGATATCACTTTGACTGACACAACGTTCAAATATTAGACAGAGGAAACACCAAGAATACTAGAAAAATGTTTAAAGCCAGGTATTCCAGAGAATCGTCAATCAATAGACACATCGACACAGACAAATTTTACCAAAGGGTCAAAGTTCAAGACAAGGAAACAATCATTACCAATACAAGTAGCCTAGAGGATGTGACAACACACACAACAACTAGTCACGTTCGAGATCGTGTAAAAATGTAAAAGCTCATTTCAACAAATTGAACTATGCGCTAAAGATGTTGCCTAGTAGGTCGATGGTAGATTCGCAAATAAACTATCCAGCTCAGAGAACACAACCACCTCAAAAGCAATTAAATTACATCATCATGGGATATGAATAGATCCGAGTAGTAGTATCTCTGAATTTTCAAGCGGCTTTTAAAGTAAACCATCAAATGGTTTAAGGAATTGATTTAAGAAGCATTATAACTCACTGAAATGTAGGTATATTTTCCGCTGATGAAAAACCTATCCTGTGCTTTATTAAGGTCTACTTTCGATCAACTACTGAATATTGTTCTTCGAAAACATGATAATCATGTTTTAATGGTTAATGGAGATTATTCTGTTGGTGTATTAAAAAACTACTTCGACTCAACACTCTGTCAAAAGTGATAGTTTAGAAAGATTTGTTCATACCTACTTTAAATGTGATGAGCATATTTTGACTACTATTGAGAAAATGTGTTTGTAGTTTACTAAATAAGTCCGTCAGCTAATCAACTGTTTTGGTTGACCACTGGTGGTATATAGAGTATATTGATAGAAGTGAAGATTTTCAGTGGTAATATCTGCTTCTCAGATATAAGTCAAATTTGTGGATGGTGACTAGCAGTGGAATCCAGGATACGCATTTCATCCTATTTAGAACTCGCCAGCTGGACGTGTGACGGTGTTCCGACCGAGGCTCGAACCCAGTACCCATAGTTTCGAACGCCAAAACGTTATCCCTTGAACCACTATGGGCACTGAGTTCGAGTCTAGGTGGGAACACCGTCACTTACTGGGGAATGCAGGTACATCCAGCTGATGATTTCCAGACAGGACCAGTTGTACTTCCTGAATTCCGCTGTTAGTCACTACCAAGCAATTCGACTTCAGGTTACATGACTAGACATCATCAAAGCATCTGCACCAGGAGCTGAAATGTCAACATGAGACCGAGCAATTGAGTCGAATCAGTAGACGGGAAAATCTAAATTGAATTGAATTTCACTAAATATTCATCAGAATGATTACGAGTTATGTCTTATCAAAATATAAAAACCTAATCGGGTAAATTTGAAGACAGGGGAAATTGATCTGAAAATTATTTTCAACATTTTTATGCACACAGTCACACTAAAAAAAGTTATCGATAGTTAAAAGTATTCCTGTTTTTGATGATATATACACTGACAAGTAAGTTGGCTTTACTACTTTCATTTTACGAATGAACTCGTGAAAAGTAAAAGCTGAATGGTGAATATGCATTTTCTAAGTAAGATCCATTAGGAACGGGTGAGAATGACTACTGTTCTGTTATCACAGGAACTGAATGCTAACAATTTTAGATGAAGTTTGAAGTTAAATGAATCACTAATAAAGCTATTCATACTACTTATAAGAATTACATCAAATTCTCGTTAAATATATATATATATATATATATATATATATATACTGGTCATTGAATAAAGTGTTGACTTATTCTACATTATATCTTTGTGCAAAATTCGTGGAATGAATTGTATTTTTTAGCTGGGAATGGTAAATGTGAGTATTAGGTAAAGTTACAGTTCCTATGAGTATGATATATGTTAACGGACTGAATGAAATTAATTTTACCTGCATTACATAATATCAGCTAACACTGTATTAATTATGAACATTTTCTTTAAATGAAGTGTTTCACACTACCACATTCTATTTTCGAATAGAACAAGTATCTAACGACTAGTATATTTATTTTATACTTTGATTGGGTACTAGTAACTAGTGTGGTGTGTCTCGTCCTTTCTTTGGTGCAGACTGAATTCTATCCGTCAGGTTTGCAATGTGGCCACCATTCTAGGTAGCTCATCGTCATGTTGTACATTGATTTGATGATATTAGATGGTTGGAGGCAATCCTCAGGAAGCACATCTGACCTAGGTTTCGTGCTAGTTGGCACTCATTAGCAAGGCGTATCTGCAACCTTGAAGGAACTCCAGTCCCTTCTGAGATCCGAACCCACGTTATTCAGGGCTGCAGTCAGAGACGTTACCACTGAGCTATTCGGGCTCGTTATTGGCCTCCTGTAGGACTATATTGGTTACTTTGATTGGACACTAGTAACTAGTGTGATGTGTCTAGTCATCTAATTGGTGCAGACTGAATTCTACAACCAGAGAGAGAGAGGAAGCTGCATAAGTAGTGTTTTTAATTGTGAAGGGTTTCGTTAAATGTACTAAATGAGGTTTATCTTTCTTTTTTATTTGCCACTAGATGACATTATCATCAATATTATCATTATTATTTTATTTACCAGGCTAGAGCTTCAGTAAATAATGAAACAAGAGAATCAAACAGTAATCTACTTGTTAACAATCCCCTGTTAAGTGCCTTGCAGCATGGAAATACAAATACAAAGCATCCTCGACGTCTGACAAATGAATCAATATCAAAATTCTCTCGTATGTTAAAAGTTAGACCATCGATAACAAAAAGTCTCTGTGAAAATGGTAGGTCTTCCAGCAATGTTAGTGTTTTTGACAATATTGAAAATACTGGCGTGAAAGATGGAAGTAGTGAGTGCAAATCATCAGGTACAAATAAGCTGTGTGACCAACACCCGTCTAATCATCCTAATGAATCCAACTCATTGAATCGTTTATCTGTCTTCCGATTACCCTATTCACGGGGTCAAAACTCATTAGATAATCATCATTCAACTGTGAATTTAACTGCTTTCTCTAAACTGAAACCTAATTTTCGCAAATTTAAACATGGACATTCTCACCGTGATTTTTATAATAAAATGGAGTATTTAACAACTGATGAACATAATGATAGAGAAGATGAAAATATGGAACTTTCTAATTCTTCTGAAATGTCAAATACAAATCGAGACCGTGATTTAAATAAAGATGAGTTGATTCGTCATTCAAACAGTGAAAAGAGACCATTATTAGTGAAGTCTAAACTTTCTTTAAATGATGAATATGATTTTATTGATGGACAAAAGAGCAGACTGCTTCATTCCAATAACTTGGATTTAACCTACAGTCCTACATGGCCACCTCTTGGCTTATCATCAAATAAAAAGTTCAAAGGTATGAATAAATCATACGGTCTTTATTCAGAAATGTTTGATTATAATAATAAAAATACTTCTAAATCAGATTATTCTCAACCTGTAGATAATAGTAATAATAATAATAATAATAATAATAATAATAATAATGAAAGTAACATTAACACTACACCTACTAACAAGGATAATAATCTTGAACCTGTGATAAATTCTGCTGGAGATTGTAATACAGGAATGAAATTCTCATCGCTTTCATCTTTCATTCAAACTAATCCGATATATTCTTCACTAGATGAAGAAAATCTGACTGAGTTCGCCAGTGCTCAATCACATATTTCAAGCAAATCAACATCACAAAGAAACAGTATAGTTAATAATGATAAATTGTCGACCTTTCATCATATCAAGGATTCTACTGCTGGACATCACGAAGGTGAAGAGCAGTTATATCTTCCAAATATGAGTTCATCTAAATATCGTTTCAAGTATTCAAAATTAAAACCAAGATTTTCATATTCATTTCCATATGAACTATATCGTAATACATCGTCGGATTTAACGAAGAAATTTGACGGCGATAAACCTCCTGGAATATCATCTTCATCGAAACTCATAAAATCAAATACTGAAGATTTAGGTGATGTACATTCAAGTTTACTTAGTGTAACAACTTTTGATCATTCTTCACAAAAATTAACTTCTGAACATCAAGATATTTAATTAAGTAAGTTAGTAATTTATTATAGCAAAAGTATTCATTCAGACATATATAAAAAAAACACAGAATAATCGAGCAAAGAATATTCTTTTCGATAAATTCCTCTTCCGGCTCTACAATTATATATGTTTATATACATAGAATATTCTAGATTAGTAGTTAATAACAATGTTACTGTTTTTAAATAATATCGATTTGTAAAGTATGATCAATGCAATTACAGTTCATTAAAGATACTTAAATTATAATAATAAAGATAGAATAGCGAATAGAATATCAACTAAGATTAGGGAAATTCCGAAAAAATTCAGGATTATCCAAATTTGGATGGCAAAGGTAATGATAATGTCTGAACTAAATCCTCTTGGATACATAAATTGGGTTTGTTAATATGAATCCCCACAACCTCAGCAATATTTGGCAGTCGAACTCTTAAGGAAAAATTGAGATTCATAGGTATGCGGTGAATGCCCCTGAGAGCATGGTTAACGTCAATCTTGTGTTCTGTCTCCACAAGATGAGACAGAATAGCGCTGCGAATAGATTTCTTTTGTCCTCTGCTTAACCACGAAGGGTGATGTTCGAAAATTAGATGAGAAACATGCCTAATTGTACGGCCTGTATAACTGGCTCCACAGGAGCAGTTAAATTGCTGTTAACTACTAATCTAGAATATTCTGTGTATATAAGCATATATATATAAATGTAGAGCCGGAAGAGGAATTTATCGAAAAGAATATTCTTTGCTCGATTATTTTGTATTTCATAATTTATTAGACAATTATTTATAAATAGGATGTTTTTATGAAATAAAAAATATAAATTGCTATTTTAGTTTCAATGATAGCTAGCCGTTGGCTACAGATTTGATTTCTTGAGTCTAACGATTATAAGATGTCTCTTGTTAGCTTCTTGTTAAAGTCGGAGAAAAATCCAAACCAGTTGAATGGTATCATAAATACACCTAAACCTGTTTTACTAATATATAACACACTGAATACCTTCACCTATATCGTGCAGATTGTACATCAGTGGTGCGGTGGTAGGACGCTAGCTGACTGCTCACATGGTTCAAGGGGTCGATCCCCGTCTGAAGCACTCCTAAACCTCTATTAGCGAGTAGCATGTCCGGTAAAAACGGAAGGATTAGGGTAGGACTAGCAACTTCACTCCAGAAAAATAGAACTACTACTACTGAAACAACAGAGCCCAAGCTTAAAGCCCTATGTCCTAACTGGAACTTAAAGGAATAAAAGGTTCAGTCAGATTTGTTCTGTACTGTAAATGTAGTAAAATCCAATTATATGTTAAATGGATTTTTTTTAACTGATAATTCCACATAAATAATCCAGTGTTAGAGTTTATCAATGAAGTGTCTTGTTTAGATAGTCGAGAGGAAATGAATTTGCTCGAAAGCATAATAACGCTATTTTAATAATTACTGTCATGCATGAAACTTATATCAGGTGAGCCTTCTTGCAATTCCATTCATCCCAACTCATATTAATAAATCACAGTATGTGTCATAGTGCTCATCAGTATATAGTGTCATAAAACTAGGTGACAAATATTGCATACCTGATCAGCTGATTTCCATTAAAACATATTTTAGAATATGTAGCTGCTAGCTTTCTGTTGTAGTAGTGAACATCAAGTGACTAATTTGCATAAATTTATTACCTTTATTGCTAATAGAATAGCAGAAAAAAAGATTATTCATCATCAGCTTATTATCATTAGCATCACCATCCATAATCAGTGTTGCTCACATCATTTTCACTCCATTTGTTTTTCAATAAAAAGTCATTAAATAATTTATTCTGATTTCTGATCACCTTTTTTTCTACTCATAAATATCGTTTATTTATGTCAAAGGTGGTATTCATCAACTGGTTCTTCTACTGAAAGATCATATGTCGTAAAACGGGCTGTTGAGTATTGGTTACCAATAACAACTGCAGTGATTATGTACTTATAATTTGGGAAGTATCATCAACCCCGACGGTTTGTTCTCTATCGAAATCTCAGCACGAATACAGAGGGCTAGTTTCGCATAGGCCAGTTTACGCCGTCTCTGGCGTAGACGTAATATCCGGCTATCGACTGAAGGGCAGGTGTACTGCTCATCAGTCCTCTCCGTCCTCCTTCATGACCAGCCGTTAGACCTGGCCATTGAGAGTGGAAGACATGAAAAGGGTGGCTAGCTGTCTTTGATCATAGGTGCCTGCACTCTATCCCCCGTGTGAAGTGGTATAATAAGGTGAGCAATATTGAGGTTAGGCGTCGAGTTCTAGGTAAGGGGGAAAATCAATCGACAAGGCTGTGAAAATACATCGACTGAGATGGTTATGACATGTGTTACGTATGCTTAGTCATCGCCTTCCTCGACGGGCAACGTTAGGTGATATAAAGTCAGGCTGGAAAAGAACTAGAGGTTGTCAAACTAAAACATAGCACTAGTCAATGAAATCCGCAACAGTTAGTTAAAGCCAGCCACGTAAGAAAGTGTAGACTTCCTGACTGGTTGGGGTCCTCGGGACGGTAAAAACCAATGGTTGGAAACAATTGGTAATATGGCTCACAATCGTTCTCAATGGCGCAGGTACATTCACTCCTTGTGACTTATGATTTCCAATGAAAGTATATTGTTCTTCGTTATTACTATTCCTTTGTCTTACATCTCTGTTTACTGTCTATATTATGCACTTCTTCTACTTTCTTCTCTTGCTTTGTGTGCTAAATGGAGGGAATGTGGCAGCTTGTACTGTCGCACATCTGTGCAAGATTCTATGTCAAAAACAGACAGATAGACATTATTTAATTAGTGCTGTGGATAAGAATTTTTAAAAAACTAACATTTAAGTGGCCACTAATCATTTGAATTGTGAAAAATGGCGGTTGTTAGTGTCTTCATCGGGTGAAGATTTTTCAGAATAGCTTAACTTTAACCTCAGTTAAGTTGGTGGAAATGTTAACTCAGGCTTACCTCCATGTTTTAATTAATCTACCAGAAAAACAAACATCCTTACAAATCAACTGTTGAAAATTATTTTGATGCTCGCTAGTGACTTGCTACAAGACAGAGTTGTCTAAAATTCCTGACCAGTCAGGGTGGAGTTCCCACCTATGACATTTTTTTGGTGATCTCGCTAAAATCACGAATTGGTAGAAGTTAGACTTTATGGGTTGGCCATTGAGTCGCGTTGCAGTGGCTGCATGGTCTACGAGCTGGCCATGTTACCCGAAGGTTATGGGTTCGAAACCCTGAGGTGGGTGCCAACTACCAATGATTCTTAGACTAGGATGAAATAGCTGCCTAGTTCTCCGTGGTTGCCAATGGTTCACTAACTGATATCAATCCGTGGTGAAATCCGAAAAACATATGAAACTTTCATAAAACAACTCTTGAAAGTTTAAAATAAACAAGTTTGATTTTATTTTCCATTATGGGTAAAATTTTGTTTTGATTAAAGTCTCACAGTATTATATAGTAATGTTTACTGACGACGTTTCGAGCATAGTGTATTGCTCATAATCATATCAAGGTAATCACAGGACTTCCTAACTTCATTTATATACTTCCATTATTTTTCATTTGATTTTCGCTTGATTTGATTGGTAGTAGTATTTTCCATATTTCGGGTATGAGTGATGAATCATTCCTTATAAGTTCACCTTTATTATAATGAATATCATATACTCAGTGCCCGGATTTTTTCAAACCGGTAAAAGTGAACTAGGTTTGGACATATATAAATGAATTTTTCCTATTGCATGTGTTGGGTGCAGACTCGATGAACAAGGATTCGGTAATTAACCTCTCTCTCCACCTACCTAGATTACTTTTTAGAATTTCAACTCTGTCCCACCCTATTGTGTGGTCGTCTGTTAATGCATGCATTGCAATTGCTGAGCTTTTTTCTAAATTACCTATCTTCGTGGGGTCGACCATTCTTCTCTTAGATAAATTCTTATGTTCCGACAATCTGGCTACCTCTGACCTACTAGTTTGACCTATTTAGTTGACCTCACAGTCATTGCAGAGTAGTTTGTAAATTATATTATTTTGTCTAATTGGGTCAACCGACAGGGTCCTTTAACCTACAGAGCTTGTCCCTGAGTGAGTTTGTAGGTTTAAATGCCGCAAACCCCAACACATGCAATAGGAATGATTCATCACTCATACCCGAAATATGGAAAATACTACTACCAATCAAATCAAGCGAAAATCAAATGAAAAATAATGGAAGTATATAAATGAAGTTAGGAAGTCCTGTGATTACCTTGATATGATTATTAGCAATACACTGTGCTGGAAACGTCGTCAGTAAACATTACTGTATAATACTGTGAGACTTTAATCAAAACAAAATTTACCCATAATGGAATTACACTCTGCCATAGTGCACAAGTTTTATTCTTATATCATTGATTTTTTTATTTATATTGCTTATTGATTCTGAAACACAGTGATATTAATATTGATATTGTCGTGTTATTAATCAGTCTATTTAAGCAAACAGGTAGGTAATAAAAGTGAAGAAGACATGGACGACAGAGGGTGGTAGGTAAAATTGAGCAAATGAATTTGCTTTTCTTCAAGGTGCATTCATATGCAAGTACATGTAAACACACACACACACACAAGCAAAGTTATTCTAATTCGTTTAATAAAGTCCTTAACTTTAATTTCTATACATGATTGATATTCATTGGGTTGTTAATTTATAAAAAAGGAAATACTTGAATGTAATTAATATGTATATAATTACCTGTTTCTTCAGTATTGATCGCTTCTGTGAATTTTGTTGGCGATGACATCACAAATTATTTGTATTTTCAAATAATCATTCTATTTTATTCTGATCAAATGGTTTACTAAGTGATAATAGGTTTCCATCAACATGTTTTATCAGCTCATTGTAGGATGGATGGATAAATGTCAATCAATAATGATCAGGAAAAATTATTGACTGTGTGAATTAGAAAAAAATAAATAAACAGAA